TTACAATCCAATGAGTTAACTTCAAAGTTGACAAAAAATAGGTTATGCTAGTGACGTAGCTATCTTAATGTCTAACTCAGAAGATGTGATAATACGGTAAACGTCAGTTATAGCTTTTTAATGTAACATTTGATTTGATTTGATGACATTTAATTATACATAACCATAAGTTTTCAAATGTCTCATCTATAGTTATAGTCAAGTCAATAAAAATTTAAAGTTTCAAAGAAAATTGAAAAAAAATAAGAAAATAAAAACCAAGCAAATGTTATTTACTCAATGAATACGGTTTGACTTATCAATTATTTTTCAAGAGAGAGAAAAGTAAAAATAACATTAAATTTTAAACAACAGGGAATCAAAATCCTATCGCCAAAAAATGCCAAGAAAAATCTCGATATACGGTACTGTATTAAAGATTTATATTTGATATTAGAATAAAGAAGCCTATCGTTATTGTACAGTAATAACGATAATTAAAATTTATAAGGGATTGCAAAACGTGACATCCTGACCCATTGACATAATCGTTGAACTTAAAACTCAAATTTTATATTAAAAAAAAAGAATAAAATAAATAAAGAAACAAAGTCGATAACTTTATAGTGTATCTAGAATTACAATGTTATCAATTTACTTCTTTGGAATAGATTCTATATTTCGAACAATGACTTATTTTTTATTCAAATAATCGTGATTATAATTTTTCATAATCATCATAATGTACTACTGATTTTATTATATGTATCAATATAATAATTAATATCGACTATAAAAAGTCGGAACACATGTTATAAACTACAGGGAATCCGACTTGGTATCGGTATAGCCGATAAATCAATTTAAATACCAGTAAAGTCTATAAATTTAGGTCGACCACAAACACTATCGCTACTTAAAAAAATAAACAGAATATACAAGTATTTGAAGTATTTGATCGAATCTAAAAATAGGAGCGGAAATAAAAATCAGGTTATACGATTTAAAGTAAACAATATATTTGTTCTAATCGTAATGGAACAGTAAGAATTGTTAACGAGAACCTTGAAAAAAAAAATCTGAATGTCCAATGATAGTCGAAAACTTTGTAATAAGTTCAAAACCAGTCTATAATATCGGATTTGTACGAATTCGATCAAAAATAGCAATCAAAATCAACTCGAACAAAAATAGTAATCAGAATCAGACTGTTCGATTTGATTGTTATTATGTTCGAATTTGGTGTATAAATCTTATCCGATAATCCTTTAAACATTTACTAATTAAGATCGTTCATTATAAAGATAGTGATTTGACGTTTGCCAATAATCACCAGGTATGAATAAAAAACGCCAACTAGACCAGGGATAAAACCTAAATATTACTTATTTACTGCGCCAATGCCTATTATTTAAGAGCCTTTCTTGATACATCAAAAAAAATTTTTGAATTCATATATATATGCCTGCGCACACCCCATAAATTGTTTGTTACCCAATTAAGTTCTAAAATAATGTGAATCAGGAACGATTGTTTTAACCTTAATTTAAACTAAATAAAGATAACGTATTTTACAAAAATAATTACGCAATTATTGTATTGTTAACTACAATACTATTACAAAAGTATTATAAAAATAAAGTTTTCAATTTATTAATTTATAGAAATCTGACTCAAACCATTGTCTATCGTTATAAAAAAGTTATATTTAAACTCTTTTTGCATAAATATACTAATAATCGTTTAGGTTTTACATTCAATGCAGGCTGAAAAGTGTATCAAGGCGTCTTTTTTGTTATACCAAAGTATTTAAGGTACTGTGTGTTTCAGCCATGTCATTTATTTTGATATTGTATCTAAGTAATTGCTTAAGGACCTAACCAAGTTAGACTAGATTAGTAGTATTGTTTATTTTTTTTGGAAAAGATTTTCTGAAACAATGCCAACAATGCCAATCAATTAAGTTAAAAAAAAAAAAAACATTGGGGGGCATATCATATTTTTGGCCTTCAAAATCAAATCTAACACCTACCTCTACGTAATAGTTCCAATAAACAATATATCTATTAAGTGATATATGCACCGAATTTCACACGGTAACGGTGACTTCTTCAGATATTTCATCTCACCGCAAATGTTTTTTTTTTTTTGATCATAATAATATCCAAATGGATAAGTATATGTTTTACAATTCATATTTGTTCCAAGAACAATGATACTAACTAGAATGAATCGAGTCTTTTACCGATTTTCAAACAATACACTTTAAATAACATTCATCAATTATGTTATCGACTGTTCCTGATGACTCAGAGCAGACAAATGTTTTAGTGGATCAATCTTTTGTATATATACAGTCTGTGTGTTTGAAAAATCGAAAACTTTGTAAATAATTTTCTTTGAACGATCTCGACATTCACTTAATTGAGATTCCAATTTAAAAAAAAAAAAAAAAAAAAATGTCACGACAGATCAGACTTAAAAACGTACCAGTTTTCACGCCTTTCCCTCAAACTAATGTCCATTTTCCTGATGAAGAACTCGTCAATAAAATTATTGCGTCAATTGATCCAGCTATAATTTCAAAGATTAAACAACATACTTTTATGGAAATTAAAGATTTAATCGCACCTAGACCAAAAAAAATTCGTAATAGACATAAAATTCCACGACCACAAAATCCTTTTGTGATATTTCGTAGAAACGCTCAAGCAAAAATGGAAGCCGATTTGGAATCTGAAATAAAGGAGTCCATGCTTACTCTTGTATCAAAAGCTGCTGGAAAAGATTGGAAGATTGCTGACGCTGAAGTAAAAAATGTATTCAATTATTTAGCAAAATTGGCAAAAAAAGTTCATGAGAAAACATATCCTAATTATGTTTATAAGCCAAGGAAAAAATATAATTCTCCTATTCCTGAATTACAATCATCTCAGAAACATTTAGATATTTCGGCCGAAAGCCAATGTCATTCTTCTTTTTCAGATCATGTAAATAGTTATCATTCTATTCTCCCCCTTGATGAAAATTACGGAATCTCTCCTGATTCAAAAGATTTTCCTTATTCTCTTTTGCCATCAAAAGATTTACCTTCCATCTGGTCATTGGTCGATTCGATCACTGCAAACACTTTAACTTCCGCAATTTTACCATACTCGCCAATTCCTATCAGTTCTAATTCATTTGAAAAAAATTATGAAATGAGTTCTTCATCTTCTAACTCTTCGTCTTCGTTATCATCACCTACATTATCGTCTTCTGACGTGCCTAATTCGTATCATGTTTTATCTCCACTCGAAGTTGATATATCTAACTATACAACACATAATTATGATAGAGATCTACTTACTGCTTTGTCATTTTAATTCGCTTTTTTCATCCTCTCGCTCGAGGAATTTTTTTTTTTTTCTCTTGATATGAAGTGATTCTCAATCACCATTATATAATATATATCTACTATGCATTTTATAAAATGCTTTATATGTAATTCAAGTTTTTTGAATTTTTCGAAGGGATTTACTATGCAAAAAAAAATTGTTCTTTTATAAACTTTATAATAAGCTTTTATTAATAATCCATTTGTTTTTTTTTAAAAAAAAAAAAAGAAAAAAAAAACTTTTCGTAACAATTTGTATATATAATTGAATAAGAAATTATTTTCATGTGATTATGAAAAAATCGTTTACATCGAGTCATTAAATTTTTTTTTTTTTTACAAAATTAATATACTTTTAGGTTATGTATTATGCCAATTAAAAATTAAATTAGTTTTTTTTTTAGCCTCTTTTAAAAAATCGATTTTAATACAATACTTTCTCCATGTCGTTGTAGTCACCTAATTTTTTTTTTTTTTCTCTATATAATTTTTTTTTTTGTTAAAAATCACATTATCTACGCCAACTATTTTTTTTTTTTCAATGTAAATAAAATGTGTAAATATAAAATTTAATCGTCTGGAATTTTCCATGTTAAATCGTCATTACTCCAACATCTACTTGGTTTATTACTTCTATTTTGTAAAATTTCCAATTCTGTATTAAATGATTATCGCTATGACCACTTAACTTAAAAAAAAAAGCTGTGACTTGCTTTTTCGCATTGAATGTTATATCACAATTACATAACACCATAACTTAGCCTTAGCGTTAGGCGACAATCTATGTCTATAATAACAACATAAAGTAATTTTTAAAATTATTTTATTATTACGTAATTTAACGCCGTGTATTATCTTTTAATTTTTATATATATCAGTTACACGATTTTATCGTCTTCCCCTGTTTTAAACTAAATGAGTGATCATAGGTAAGTAAATCAGTTTTCGTTTTGGATTATATTAAAGGACATGACCTTTATTTCTTAAACATTAGGTGTGATATGGCAAGTTGGCTCGATGCCGTAAGAAAGGTGATTCACATATCGCATGTAAACTAAAGAGTTAACATTCTAAATATGGAGACTGGTCCTCTAAACAGGTTTGTCACGTTACAATGTCCAATAAGTTTTGGACACATTGTTCAATTTCAATTTGACATATCGATATGTCCAAAAAAAATATATTGATGTGACAACTCTGCTTCTAAACGAAAACAAGATCGCAAGAAGTGAATATTGAGTAATTTGTTATCAATATTTTCTATCAATGTCGCAGGTATGTTGAAACATAAAAATGACTGATTATCAAATAAAATCTAATATATTTATACTGTATATTAACTGGTTTCTCCAAGAATATTATATAGATTTATATACAAAATTTAATCAAGTTATCATGGGGCTTATTTGCACAAAACTCTTTCTGCAAAAACACTCAGACCAAAATTTAAAAAGAAGACTACTAAAAACCTTTCGGAATTTTCCCATCAACTTTAATACCATTAGTGACTATCATTGGGATGAACATGATGAACCAAATAGTATTTTCAAAGATACGAACAACTATACCGATACCATTACACATGGCTTATTTTTTAATTGAAAAGATCTTCTGATATGATATCAGCCGAGATGCCATCTTTTCACTTATCCATTCGTTGTTAAACTTTAAAGGTATTAAAAATTTTTCCTAATAAAGTTATATGTAAGATTCTTGAACTCATCATCATTTTTTTCACACAATAGATGGTATATTACGAAAGCTTTTTAATTTACCTTGCCCTTACAAAAATACCCTTTGTAGTTGTTCTTCAAGTGCCTGCATTTGTAAAAGTGCTAGCGTTTGGAAAAAAAATGGTGTTGGTTTTTCAGCTTCTGGTAAAGCATGGGGAGAGATTAATATTGATACTGAAGTATCAGGTAATTCTAAAGGTGTTGAAATTAAAGGTTTAGGTTTTGGTGTTAGTCTTGGTAAAAAAAACAGGAATCAGAAAACAGTTGATATTTCCGATGAAAAAATGGCTAGAATAATCATAGGTCCAAAAAGGCGTAAATCTAATCTAAAAATTAAAATCAATCCGATCAAAAAAAAAATAATTTAACGCCAATGTATATATCGATATGTATTTTTTTTTTTTTATCTGTATTAATAAAGTTGAAAAGCCAGTGGCATATGTAATCAGTTTGCAAAGTTTTATCTGTAAATCGCGACCAGACGACCACAACATTAACTTTTTTCATCTTGATTAATTTGGAGAAATTTAGCCACAATTTTAAAATCGAATTAATTATATAAATAATATTATTAACGTTAATCTCAAATTATATAAATTATTATACTTTATTGACTAAATTAATTAAACAAAAATATTCAGAATGTAATAAAGACCAGTATAAAAGCATAATTAAGATTATAAGATAAAATGTAATAGAGGTTATGTAAAAACGTGTCATTAAAATCGTAAATCATAATTTAGGATAACTGCAATGAAAAGTTATACTTACGGACTAAGAAGAATTCAGCCGAAGCAGAATTATTAATAATTCTCTTTATTGGTATTCAATAAGATAGCTGCGCTGCACGTGGTGCTGCGCAGAACCAGTACAAACTTTCTAGTGAAGTATTAAATTGTGGAATTATGGATTCAATTAGTCGATCTAATTAGTTTAATATTTGATACAATTGTTCCCTATTTATTTGATTTCTTATTATAATACTGTACAGGAAGATATACCAATTCGAAGTAAAATTATCATTTTATTTAATGATAGTCACGGCTTCATTATTAAATTTTAAATGTTTTTTTTGTCGAACTCTGACTTGAAATTTTAGAAGGTCGCATTTATAGATTCCATGTATGAGTTCTAACTTATATTAAATTATATAATAAACTTTTCACTTCATTAACAGTCCTAGTATCTATATTAGAGATGTACCTCGCGCGAGGTCAGACTAGCATTTATTCACAACCTCACGCGAGATCACATTGCGAGATTTTGCGCGATGTTATGTGAGGTCATATAAAAAACTTTTTTTAAAATATTAAAATTCGTAGTGAAAAGCATAAGACCTTATTACTATACCATAGCTAATTAAATTTTTATATTTTATCTTCAAAATATATTGGTTTTAAGAAGCGAAATAATATATTTTTTAAATATTTGCTATAGCATTAATATAATCAGAGAAATAGTCATTACAATAATAATTTCAAACAGTTATGGTATTTTTTTTTTAAATGCTTGAAAAGAAAAAGTTATATAACAAATTCGCAAAAATTATTATATCCTTGATCTATTAAATTTGCAAAATTCTTATCAAATATTCATATTTTAGTCTATGTTTATAAAACAAGCTTTGGAAATAAGAAACTCAAAGAATTACAAGACTTAGATAATAATTCTAATATTAGAGAATGAATATAGCAAAATATATTATAAATAAATATCCAACATATTTAAATTAGAACTTCGATATAGAAATTAATTTTTAATTTTACCTTATTCATTATTTTTATTTTTATCCAAATCTATTAATTCATCATCACTTTCATGTAAATTTAATAATTTATCGTGTTCATTAAATTCTTGAATATCTTCATTATCTTGTTCGATAATTTTATAATTTTCATTATCATTATTGACTGTTTCTTGAAAATTTAATAATTCAAAGTTTTGCTATTTCTGTTGACCAATTTTCAATAAATATAGGCCATAATTAGAATAAATATATACTAGTTTCAAAACAAGTTCTGGAGTAAGTCTATTTTTTTTTTTGTTATAGATAGTTGCAAATACAGACCAATTTTGTTCAGAGGCAGCTAAAGATGTAGGAATATTTAAAACTTGAATTGCTACTTGATATAAATCATATGCAACAGAATTATAGTTTCTTTTCTACTATGTAGTTGGTGCAAGTTTTGATAATAAATTCCAAATTAATGGATTATTAAAAATTCTATTCTGTGCTTTGTATTGCACTAATTGATTCCAAATCTTTATCAAGTTATTTGGATAATATTTTGTAATAAATAATAAAATTGTCATAATATTTGAAAGTGATAAGTATTGTTCAATAATCTATGAGTTAAGAAGATAAACAACTTCTATTACTAGGTGATATAGTTTTTTCTAATATTTTTCAAAAATTGTATTAAGTTTAATACATGTATATAAATTGCGAATCTCTATTTAAATATAATGATAAAAGTTATTGTTATATAATAATACAATACATATAAAACAATATAATACTTATATTTTAAATTTAGTAAATTATAGTACTATTCCCAAAATTGAAATAATTTTGAACTATCACTTTCAAAAATAGCAATACTATTGACTAGATATTTTAATATTTCTAGCAAATAATAAGCTTTACACTAATAATTTTTATCATAAATAATCGATGCAATATTTTTATCAATTTTACTAGTTTTATGTTGTATAAGCTCTGTTGAACTCAAAATTAAAATAAGCTTGTTTGACAATACTAAATTTAAACAGATAGCAGCTAATCTTCAATATATTCTAACTAGTATTTTCAATATAGTTTTTTATCTCTGTATTATACTATTTGATATTATTTTAAAATAGCATTAGATATATGATGCTTATAAAAAAATTTAACAATTTTTTTTGTTTTTAAAATAGTATTTTTAATCTAATTAAGTTTAAAAATATTATCTACAAGTAGATTTAGTCTATGTACAAGACAATCAATAAAAATTATAAAAGAATATTTCTTCTCAATTATTCTTCAAGCACTTTTCATAATAGATATATTATCTATAACTACTGCTGATATTTTTTTTATCAATAATTTTAATTATATCTAATATAATATTTTGTATATTTTGTTGAATTTCACTAGTAGGTTTTGCAGAAATAAAAACTAGTTGAGGTATTGTAAATATAAAATTTGTCTAATAATTATGAACAATACTTAACTTAGATAAATTAATATTAGTAAAAATTAAATAATAAGAATAAATTATAAACTTAAATAATTATATAATACTATATATTACTAATTAGAGTTAAAAACTTTGTATTACTAATATGTTGATCAATTTTAGTCTTAGTATTTATATAAATTTGATCTAGTAAAGATCCTGTTAGCTATTTTCAAGTTAGTAATTCAAAAGTAGAGTATACATACTTGAAAAGAATTTTAATCAGTTCTAATTTAGGAAAAGTTAATAATAAGCTACAATAAACAACAGCTTGAGCAAATAATAGTTCTAATTCATCTTGTTGAGGTTCTTGAATAGTTAAAAGATGATCAAAAAGATTCTTAACAATATATGGTTTTAAAGACACATTATTGGAATTATTGCACTAAAAATTATCTTCTAAATACTGTCTTAAAATATTATTTTGTACTTTTAAGCAATCATTATACAAATATACTTCACATCAGCTTGCAGTTTCACTTAATTCATAACTACAATAATTACAGTGAACATGTTTTTTAACAAAGCCATTTACAATTTCTAACTGAGTAAAATAATTCCAAATTTGTTTTTTAGGTGATATTGTAATAATTTATTGTACATATAACAATAAAATTAAAAACAAAGCAAAAAATTCAAGTAAAAAATTTTATTATATATTAATAATACTGTATGACATAATAAGTACATAGCTATTTAATATTAATTAATTAAAAAAACTATTAAATTGATTATTAATTAAAATTATCTTAATCAAATAATTTTACTTCATATAAGGTTGACATTATCCTTATATAAAATACAAGAAGTTGCATTGTGAAAATTTTGCTATCTCATGTGAGGTATATCTCTAATCTATATATATAATTTGTACTATATATAAATTTTATTTTAATAAGATTTTTTGTTCAAGTAATTATAAAAAATTAAATGATATACAATAAAATTTGTTACTCACTATATACATATCTACAAAAGCTATTATTCCTTAATCTGTAGACTATTTCAGGCAAATTTGCCTAGTACGTCATTATTACTATACTTTATACCAAAATTTTACTTTATCTAACAACTCTAGATATAACTAATTTATTCCTTGCTATCTACATGACTTTTTTCATATATTTAGTTTCTACTGATAAGGTCACTTGAAAAAATTTGAATTTTCAATTAATATTACTTTTAGAACTCTTAGAAGGAGGAGGATAAAATATAACAAATATATAGAATGAACAAATATGAGACAATTTGATTAGTTGATGTAAATTAAGAGATTAGTAAGAGTTATTCAGTGTTTTGATTAGTTGTTCATTTCTTGAAAGAGTTTTTAGCTGAGGGTGATATTAACTGAAGAATCAAATTTGAATAGCCTAAACATTGAAAACTTATTTTTATTAATCTAGAAATTAATAATTTATGATATGACTAATAAAAAGTTGATGACATTTATCAGTAGAAATAAGTATATGAAAAGTCATAAGAATAGAGTTAGCTAAGGGATAATTAATATTTAAATATATTAGATATAATTTTTAAAGAACTCCAAAAAAGTAAATGAAAGAAATAAAAGAATAGAAAGGCTATATGCTAAATAAAATAATATTTTTATAAGACTTTTGATCTTAATGATTTAGCTTCTTTAAGATGTCATATGCCTTTAAATTATAATATATTGAAAAAATGTAATAAATAGGAAAATTTGCTTGTTTAATAGTGTAAACAGGCCTACCAAATAATTGATTGTGAGGACAATTAATTACAATTTTTTCAAACTCAATTAATTAAGTATAGTGCAAATCTGCTAAAAAGAAAATTAATTTAATTACAATTATTTATTATTAATTGGTTTTAATTAATTTTATAATAATTTTTAATTGATTTTAATTGTATTATATATGACAAAAATTAATTGCAATTATAGTGCTTTGCAATAAAATATGATTTTTGTGATGATAGTAGTTAGAAATTTTAAAAATTTAGATTTTATATTGATTATATATTTCAAAATTGTTAGAGTATCAAAAAATCTGCTAATTTCATATAATATTTTAATCTGCAAATATCACACTTTATTGCAAAGTGCTATAATTTTTCAGTAGGCCTAAGTGTAAAGGATATTATAAATTTTTTATATAAAATTTTGATGAGTAAAAGTACACATAATATTAGAGTTTTAAATACATTATTGCTATGTAAATCAAATCAATATATGGTTCTATATAAAAATTAATGAAAAGATTTTTATACATGATTATCAAATTTGTACTAATTATAAAAAAATTAAAATTTCAAGGTCTGACGATCTTAGTGTAGTGGTTAGGTTGCCAGACTGCCATGCAAGAGGTCTGGGGTTCAAATCCCACTGTCAACGAATTTGAATAATTACCCGAATCTTTGTACTAACTTACGGTAAACTCTGTTCGTTTCTGGGGTTGTAACCCTGTAAATCACGTTGCACTAATATCAACTAGATATTGGAAGTGTGACGAGGCATTTGGCGAGATGTAATGTTACACGAATAAATCTTGATAGGATCTATGAGCAGGGAACCTGCATCATAGAAATTCCAAGTTGGTAAAATAGTACAGCCTTCAACGGTCACACTGGCTAACGCTTGATCCAGAAAAGAAACTATCGACAAAAGATGCAGATTGAGTCAGGTGCGCATAAATCTATTCAACAGGGATGATCAGTAACACCAACTTGGCTTGGCGGCTAACTAGATTAGGAGGATCTGCTTCGTGAAACATTCAAGAAGATAGAATACAGAAAACTGGTGGAGAGCCACAGTAGGAACTGGGGTTATACAAACATCTACAAGGGTCTCAGCTAGGTGAATTCGTAAAATAGGTACAGACCACTCTAGTAGGTATGCTTCGAAGTTAACTGGCTCTAGGATATCTACAATGCGTTAGGTACAATGTATCCTGAGAGGACCTAAGCTGTTCTGAATAAATAGATCCATAACGAGCTAGCTGGCTTAAGCAGTTAGGTGTTGCGGTAACGTTAGGTTGAATCTGTATGAGTTAATGATCAAAGCGTTTAAATAGGTAACTTATAGGCAGGTTACAGATATAGCAGCATAGTGTAGAACCAATCAGATGGTCTAATCTCCTGTGCAGCGGACTACTTAAATAGACAATGACTAAAGTTGTACAGGTAGCTTGTTGTACACTCTTCATGTAATTACAAACAGTAGGGACTATCAATAGATATCCTGTATGCAATTCTAATAAAATTCCTTCAGCAATGTAAGCCGCCTTAATAACATAAAAAAAAACAAAATAATAATACGTAGGATTAAATTTATAATAATGTAATAATACTAACTTTTAATTTATTATGATATAATTATACTAACTTTTAAGTATATTATTATAATGATTATTATTTAGACTTTAAGTTATATTAATAAAATATAATTTTATCATTATATTCATACAAATATTTATATATCTATAGCAACTTTAGAGAGAAAAGGTTTTTTTTGCATCATGTCAGAAATAGACGAAAAAATGATAAAATTTCTTTGGCAAAATAATAAAAATATTTCTATGATTGTATTCAATCATGAATCATATACTGCTACTATTACTCTAACTAACAATTCCATTAGAATCATAAATTTAAATGAACCAGATAATAATTCCAATAACAATAGTAGTGAAGATACACTAGATAATCCAAATAGCACAGTGGATAATCTTGTAAATTTGAATACACTAGAAGACAATTCAAATAAAAATAATATGAATAGTGCTGAGAATGAGAATAGATATCAGGTAAATTCTAAATTAATTACCAAAAAAAAGTCAGTATTTTAATTTTAATAAGAATTATTAATGGATAACAGGGTAGTGAGATAGATAATTATATAGTCTCATCAAGTAGAAATGAACTTATTCAGGTAAATTCTAATGATATATTAATGAATTGTAAATATATTAATATACCAAATTAATTCTAATAAGTATTGAATTAATAGCATGAGGCAGAAGATTCGTTAAATAGTAATCTCATTAATCAGGTATATAGATTACTATATAGTTAATTATATCTAATTGATCTAAAAAATAAATTAATACTACTTTAATATTTAATTCTAATAATTTAAATTAATAGCATACTGAAATAGAATCTACTTCTGAAGTCTCATCTTGTAGTAATGAGAATAATAATCTTACTCTTCAGGTAAATTGCAACTACAGTATTAGCAATGAGTTTTATATAAATATATTAAAGCTAAAGTTGATATTTATAAATAGAACAGAGAAGTAGAAAATATTTCTGAAATATCGAATAATAATCAAAATGATAGTTTAGAAAATACAAAAGATACTCAGATAAATTTAGTTAATAAAAAAAAATATTAGTTAATAATTTCTAACAAAAAATGTATATGGAAAAGAAATCAAAACGTAAAGCATCTGAATCTGGTAATAAAAATAATCAAATTTCAAAAAAAGTAGTAAGTATAATTTTTTGTATAGGATATTGATTCAATAAATTATTAATTAATAGGTACTTTTTTTTTATAGTGTTTATTAACTTCAGAATGCTCATAACAAGAGCAATTAGAAGTTTCTAAAAAATCATCTGGTAAGGCAAATTAATTAGTACTATATACAGATTTTATAAGTTACTAAATTTATTTTGTTTATTAGATACTATGTCTTTACAATTTATTTCTCTACAAAATTCTGATCTAAATGGTATATTATTTATTTTTGTCTAATTTAATTATATAAAAACTAACTATTTTATATTATGTTTTAATAAGAATGTACTTTATCAAATTCTTCCATTGATATGAATTTAAATGGTATATAAATTATATTTGTTGATAGTAATTAATTTACAAAAATATTAATTATTTTTTAATTTAATTATATCAGATATGTTAGAGCAAGAACGATCAACTGAAAATGTAAATTTGAATCTATTAACAATACCAATAATATTAGTGCTTATATTCAAGTTATATATATATATTTATAATTATAATTCTCTAATATATATACTTTTTAGGAACAATATAATAATTTAGAAATAGCAAATGCTATAATTACATCAGATAATGAATCAACAACTCAAAATGAAGATGCTACTGAATCTTCAATTACTAAATCAGCAATAATAAAGTCAAATGGTAAGTTTATTATATACCTATATTATTATTTTATTATTTTTTTTTTTTATATAGTATTAATAATTTTGTAGATACTAATAGTATTAATATAAGCAATATCGATAGAGCTCACTTTCTAAGACAAAGCTTTATAGAAGCTAATAACCAACAATTGGTTATTAATCATAATCAACTTTTTTCTAATGACTCTATTGAAAGTTATCTTATATCAAACTTTGACTATCTCTTCAATAATAATAATGGAATTATTGATATTTCATCACAAACATTACCAACTTATTCAAGTACAAGTATTGAATCAATTGATAATTATTTCAAAAAATAGTTATCATTATTCAATAAACTTAAATCTGCAAAACACACAGTAGAAACAGCAATGCTTAGCATGCTTTACAAATTGCGAGACCCTTTTCTATCATTACTAGTAATCTGTGTTTTGAAATATAAAAAAAATAATAACAACTTTCCAAAACACAGATTACTATATAAACTCATAGCAGATAGAATGAAAAACATTCTAAATATTACAGAAAGACAGGAGCACAGGTATTGGTCAGGTATGTAGTGTTTAATTAAGTTATTCTATTTAACCAAATGCCCTGCTATAATTCTTGTTAAAGCTAGAATCATATCAACATATGTAATGATAGCTTCTAATGAGGATTATAATCAATTTCTTAAAAATTTATTAGATAATGATAGTGTTGTTCATAAAGCTCCTAAATTTGATGCATCTATAATACAAAAAGTTCTAGAAATTAGAGATACTATAAATATATAAATTCATGAATTTAGATGTCTGTAAAATCATATAATAAATATGTTTTTATAAAAAAATCAATATAGTAATTGCAATCCGATCACTCTTCCTGCAGATCACTTGACTATTTCTGGAGCAAAACAAAAAGCAGGAAAAAGTCAAAAACAAGACTAAGAAACAACAATAAAGTTACTAATTAAAAAGAAAGA